TATATATATATATATCTATTAATTAATCTTTTTTTTTGTATTTTTGTCGTTTTCATTATCGCGCACTTACTTACTATTTAAGTGGTGTTTATTGTCCCGCGCTTCCGCGGTGCCGAGGCCGAATCCGGGCAGCAGACGGGGTTTCCTTTCCGACTGAAAGGTTAGGGATAGGATGTGACCGAAATAATGCCTCGTTACTTAATAAATCCGTTTATTTTAATTAATTAGTTAATAAGTGTTAATTGTCACTGGTCGTTACTTACTTTCGTCGCCACTCTGTTTTACCTTAACAACAGAGAAGGTAATCTGGGTCCTCGGTTATCCCGCTTTGCTGGCCTTATCGGAATGGAGGGCTCTTATTGGCTTCCTTCCTTCCTGTCTGTCTCGTGATTGGCCGCTTAGTTGAGAGAGTCGTGTCGTCTTATTGTTGCCTCGCTTCGTCGCGTTGTTTCTTATTATTACTCGTGGAAGTGATGTATGTTGCAATAAATACGAAAGGCACGTTGGTGTAACGAAAATAAATTCATTCAAAGTTAATAACACCAACAAATAAATTATTAATGGCCTTTCATTCACTCTTGTTCACATTCTCACGCTATTTCACACTTTACGACACTCTAACTGTCTCTCTTTAGCTTATTATACTTCGCGTTGTCGCGTCGTGTCGCACAATTCAATACGTCACGAATTCAAGATGGCCGTCGCCTTTGTTCTCGCATGCCGCGCTTGCGTGTAACGCGTATCACGACTTTTGCGGGTATTTCCTCGCTTTACTCGCGTATTTACGGCGCGGGGCGTTTACGGGTGATTGCCTGTTAATGTATTTCAACGAATTACGGCAGAATTTAACCGTTTTCCCGTATTTTCGGTATATGTCGGATTTTCACCGAAATTCGCGATTCTTTCGCGTTAATTCGCGTTCGCGATACTTAATTAGCGTTAACTCACTTTCTCAACTCGAGATTACTCGGTTTTTTTACGGTATTCGCAGTTACGCAATAGTTGAGCCGCACCGTCGTGTCGCACGTCCGACATGTTTGGTTGCTGGGTAACGACTGATTTTCAATATGGCCGGCTTCACTGGCAAGATGGCCAGGAAGAAATGGTGTGTACCTTTTTCCGGGGTACGTTCTATGTTCCCTGATTTAGTTCTTTTCTGGTTACACATTCAAACAGGCCTTTCGGTGCTATAAATGACTCAAATAATTCGGAATTAACTTCCTTAACATAAAATCTTAAGGGGATGCTAAAGCAACGGCGGAACTCAATTAAGGTCGATAATACAGATTTTGGAGATTTTATTGGAAAATCGATGTAAGACGGTGGTGCGCCCCCATTTACACGGAGTAGCACGAAACTAAAAATATCGATAATATACCGAATGGTAATTTATCAGCATTTTTCGTGTACATTATAAAAGTACGTGTTTGATGTAGTTATTTTTTGCTACATCTTTATTATTTTACGAAACGTAAATACACGCACTCCTTTGGAGGATATAATGCCGTATCTCCAATTTTCGAGAGACTCGTATTTCGGACGATTCTCTGATAGATTATAAGGCATATATTGTGTAAATATATTATCACGTATGTGTATATATATTATCATGTATACTCG